AATAAAAAAAAAAAAAACCCCAAACCAAAAAAAAAAAAAAAACCCCCCCCCCCCAAAAAAAAAAAAAACACAAACAAAAACATGTCACAAAAAATGACAAAAACATGAAACACTAAAAGGACTGATGTACATTCAGACAAAACCGACCTAAAGAAATATAGACTGAATCAAATAAAAAGAGCTGATCATGAATCTCATCTTCTCTTTATAGCTTAATGATGAACTAGATTCATAGTAGATTTCCAGATTTCTGTTCACACTGCACTCAAATATGATCTGTAGGACTGACTGTCAGCACTAAGTGTGCTATTTTTAGACAGTCATGAGCACTTATGCTGGAATATTTATGTCCTTGCTGAAGTACTGATATCTTAAGGACCATTTAGAGGACTGAGACAAGGTCATAGGCACTGTTTTTGAGCGGAGAATCAATGTTTACGTAAAAATGTATCGCTGCTCACAAGTTTTATGCAATAAGTATGTAATTTTAATTGGAGAATCTTTCGCTTTTTTACTTACTAACAAAAACAGTACGTTTTTAGTGCTAATGCAACATACTTAGGAGTGAAGGACGCACATTAGGTGTGTAACTGATGCTTTATCTGCGTGTTTTATCATACTTCGGTCGCACAAATAAACTGAATAAATGAGGCAGAATATTAGTTCAAATACCAGATTCTGTATCCACTTACTTGCAATTAAAGTAAACCATTATGAAACACTTCATGTGTGACAAAAGCACAAAGGCAACTTCTAGAATTGTTCCCACTTAGCAATATCTTCATACACGTGTCCAGAATGTGGACCTGTAACTTCAGTGCATTTGTTTAAAGATGATTTAAGGAATGGTTGAGTATTTGACAGTATAGTGTACTAAACACTCGTCATCAATGGGGAAAGAGCTACTGTCAATCATTTGAGCTCATGAGCCCATATGCGGTAACATTTTAAAACTTTCTTTAAAGGGATCCTGATCTCAGCTCAGTTCAAGTTGGAATTTTCTCCTGAAATTCCTTTTGAACCTGAATGGCCTCTGATTGGCTGTTTCCTCTGATAGAACTATGATTGGCTGAGTTTGGGCTCTGGTGGTGAATCTCTGAACCTGACTTCTCTGTGGCTTGTGCAGGGTTAATGTCTTTTGGCCCGCTGAGCACTCTGGGTGCAGGACGCACAGCAGGCGGTCTTATAGTAGGAGTAGACGCAGAGTCGAGCCTGGACCACCATTACGCAGTTATGCCGTCTGTCCTTACAGTTCTCATCTACAACGAGAGAGATGGGAAGAGAGCGAGAGAGAGATTATAATCTGAATCATCATACAGAATGCAAAAACACTCTCACACACACCTTCGAAGGGACTGCAGGGTATGGTGTTGCAGGAGCGCTCGTGGGCAGGTTTGGAGTCCAGATCGCAGGCTGTGTTGTGCTGTTTGTCTGCAGTGAGACACCGCACCTCCCGCGTCTGCACCCCTTCACCGCAGGACCGAGAGCACTGGACAGACACAGAGGGGAAGTCAGTGACAGCAGAGGAAGGGAAGATACCGCAGGACAGATGAAGTCGTCCTCACCTTGACTTGTTCTGCTCTACACAGTTCTTATATTATAAATTGTTTTACATTTAATTTTGTTCTATTCTATTCATCTTTATTCTGTGCAATGTTAAACTATTCTATTAATTTGCATTCTATTCTTCATTGGTCGATTATATTTTTTGTTCTATTTAATTTTGTTTTTTTTGTCAATATTCTATTCTATTCTATTCCATTCTATTCTATTCTATTCCACTTCATTCTTTGACTTGTTCTTCTATTGTATTCTAACACAGACCTTAACATTGGAATATAATTCATTGATATTTGCTGTAGGCAGACGGCCCTCACCTGTCCCCAGGTTCCGGTGTACCAGAGGTGGGTGGGTGTACAGGGTCCCCCGTTACAGGCCTTCATATCAGCCGGTTTCTCCCCCCCACACTCCACTCCTCCGTCTCCTTCTCTCCTGCCTCCGCCGGTCAAACACACCACCTCTCTCCGTTGGACGCCCGGCCCGCACGTCGCAGAGCACTGACAGAGAAAGACAGAGAAACAATCATCCACATCACTACATAAATATATCGTTTCATCAAATCACCTTTTGGCAAACCAAGTGCAAGCATGAATCTGGCTGGTCACTACTCACAGTGTTTGTCCAGTCCGTGAAGTACCAGTTAGTGACACAAGGACCCATGTGACAGTCCTCTGTGCGCTGTGGGTGGAGCCTGTCACTGCACTCCCTCTCATTCACAGTGTTGCCATGGTCACTGACACAGCGTACGCTCCGGGTTCTCTTTCCCACTCCACAATCCACTGAGCACTGTGGGAAACAGACACGTTTACATACACACGCAGACAGATCAAACACGGCTATGTGACCAGACTTAAACACACACACACACACACACACACACACCCACACACACACAAACACACACACACACACACACTTACAGACTAGAGCAAAACCGCATTTTTTAAATCAGCTAGTCAGTAGGTTGCCTTATCAACTAGCCAACTAACTAATCAGTCTTAAGGAAGTCCTGATTTTGGATTCATCTGACCCAGATCAAACACATTTCATAAGAGGCATTAACACAAAAAACAGCTACACAGAAAGCAATATGGAACAATACAGGGGTCTCAATTCACAAGACTCATTTTTAAAAGTTGGACTATTTTTAATCTTAAAAATGCAATGGTTGTGGCGGGACAAAGAACAGTGCAAGCACCAAAACAGTGTACAGCTGCACTGGAGCCTTAAGCCTTATGTATCCTTAGGGACATTTTTTTAATATATATTTTTGGCTGTGTTAAGGCAAAAAGCATAAATTTTGCAAAAAACAACCAACCAAATTAATAAACAAAAAGTGTATTTTCATTGGAATTTTAAATTCTCTTCATAAATCTATTTTACACTCAAGATCAAAAATGTCATCATTGAAAACCATTAAAACTGCAATATTAAACCATACTGCCATTTAAGCATAAAATCTGGCATTCTATGCTAATAGGCTTTTCGTTCTGTTGGCAAGACTTGAAAATGTTTACTGAATGAAAATGAATGAATGAATATCAGAGTATGATTTGTATGTGTACTGAGAAATTGGTGTGTGTGCGTGTGTTAATGTTTTTTTATTCATTCTTTTTTTCTGACACTGCACAAAAAATAATACATACATCACAATTAATGCTGTTTCCAATCACTGACTTACCCAGGACTGTAGTAATAAAAAACTGCTTAGCGTTTTGTATATGGAAAATATTTTTTTCCCATAAAAAAACAACAACAGTGTTAGTATGTAAACAAACCAGCATTTAAAGGGTTAAAATCTGCATTTCCCAAAAGCATCGTTAACTATGGTTGTTAATTCCATTGAACTCTACTGGTAATGACGGAACTTGCAACCATAGTTGCTTTTGGGAAACGCACCCCAGGACTGATGTTGGTTAAAAAAACAAATCTTGTCAGTGAAAGTGAAAAAAAATAAAATAAAATCACAATTAATTTTTTTTCTCTAAAGACCTCTGTGTAACTTTTAAATTAATGCACAAGGGAAAGGAGTTTAATGCAACTTTTATAAGAGGGTTTCACAATGCAAACTGTCTAACAAAAAACCCCACAGCTGCTGCTCAAATATTAAAAACATAATTTATTAAATATAATATGTACTAAATATACTAAGTAACACTAAATAAATAACCTGCAGTCATCCTGTAGTCTTACCGCACATATTTTTCTTAAATATATATATATATATACATGCATTTGTTTGTATTTATATATACATAATAAATATACACAGTATACACACATATATTATGTAAACAAAAACTTTTATTTTGGATGCGATTTATTTATTTTTTAAATGTTTTTGAAAGAAGACTTTTCTGCTCACCAAAGCTGCATTTATTTGATTAAAAAATACAGTAAGAACTGTAAAAATGTGAAATATTATTGCAATTTAAATTAGCTGGTTATAATGTGAACATATAATATAATATAATGTATTTCTGTGATGCGCAGCTGTATTTTCAGCATCATTACTCCAGTCTTCAGTGTCACATGATCCTTCAGAAATCATTCTAATATGCTGATTTGCTGTGCAATAAACATTATTATCAATGTTGAAAACATTTGTGCTGCATTTTTACTGCCCCTTTTTATCAAATTATTGCATCCGTGCTGAATAAAATGATTAATTTCGAGAATTAAAAAAAAGAGCCGTTTATGCACATGCAGAGTTACTCACAATGGTGGACAGGGATGAACGTTACACGGTTCCTCCTCCGGCGCAGGTTTGGTTGCGGAGTCACACCTCCTCTCGTGGACTTCCTGGTCTGTGTGTCGACTCACACACACAATCTCTCTGTACTGAGAGCCTGAATACACACAAACACATATGCACACATCAAAAAACAAGCAAACACACACATAGTACAGCATTTTTAGTGGTAAGTGGTGTAAAATGGCAAGGTATTCTGGGTAGTTGTTTACACCAAGTCTCTGTGATCTTCTCGTCTCTAGATATTGCTCAGATTCCTTGTTTTTTTTTTCTCTTTTACAGGAATAGTTCACCCAAGAATAAAAATCCTCTTAAAATGTTCTCCCCTCAGGTCATCTAAGATGTAAATGAGTTTGTTTCTTCATCAGATCTGGAGAAATGCAGCATTGCATCAGTGTCTCAGCAATGGATGCTCTGCAGTGAATGGGTGCCGTCAGAATGAGAGTCCAAACAGCTGATAAAAACATCACAATAATCCACAAGTAATCCACACCACTCCAGTCCATCAGTTAATGTCTTGTGAAGCAAAAAGCTGTGTGCTTGTAAGAAAGAACTCCACCATTAATGCGTTTTATCAAACTTTTTCACTGAAGGAAGCGTTACTATGGATTATGGATGCATCTGAAGTTAAAAACATCTTAATGCTGAATTAGTTTCAGCTTTTGTCTTCTCCAGATGTGAACTGGTGGACTGGAGTGCTGTGGATTACTTGTGGATTATTGTGATGTTTTTATCAGCTGTTTGGACTCTCATTCTGACGGCACCCATTCACTGCAGAGCATCCGTTGCTGAGACACTGATGCAATGCTACATTTCTACAAATCTGATGAAGAAACAAACTAGGATGGCCTGAGGGTGAGCACATTTTATAAATATTTTGGGTGAACTATAAGTTTAGGGTTTTGTTTAAATCATTAACTCTAAATCTGAGCAATAGTAATGGTGATGCTTGCCTGAGCAAACACCACTAACATAAGAGCACAGTGTCAGTTTGCAGCTCTTTAAACACACCAGAAGAAGGCGGCAGAGAGCAAATTCACACTCGCAAATCAGATTAATAAAGACCAGTGGTGAGCGGCTGAGAAACCCCTTAAAAACACACACAGCCCTACAGAGAAACTCCCGAACAGTTTGGCACATGCACGCCCTGTTCCACAGCGCTTGGCTTTCTTCATGTCAGTAGGCAATGGATTCATGTTCTCTGAGAGTTTCCAGCTCTCCTATTACAAATAAACACAGCATTAATCCACCACGTCCACTCTGGATCACAGGTTTAAAGAAGAGCCTCTCAAAGCAGTAATGTGTGCTGTCAACTGCTGTCAAATCTAAAGCACAGATCCATACTGAGTTGAACTATGCATTTACAATGTACTAAAGAGAGCCGTCATTCACAAAATAGAATATGTAGTCAGTAAGATTTTTTGGTAAACATTTGATATAAAGCCTTTATGTACAGTATAATGCATTATAAAAGTAGTTTTAATGCATTAATTATTATTAATAATAATAATAATAATTATTATTATTATTATTAATTATGCCTTGTAAATGCACCTTATAATGCATTGTACAATCTCATGAATAATTGTAACCACAGTTAATACATTATAACACTTATTGATTCATTGTTACACTGTGCATTTTACATATAGGCTTTAAGTAAAGTGTAACCGATTTTTTCTCTTACGCTCATCAAGGCTGCATTTATTTGATCAAAAATACAGTAGAAACAGTTATATATTGAAATATTATTAAAATGTTAAATAGCTGTTTTCTATATGAATGCATTGTAACGGCAATTGATTTCTGTGATCAAAGCTGTATTTTCAGCATCATTACTCCAGTCTTCAGTGTCACTTGAGCCTTCGGAAATCATTTGCTGACTGTAACATTTTTGATAATTCTCTGACCTTTTCCACAGGTAACAGTGCATTCTGTCAGCGCGCCTCTTCGCCACACGAACGCAGGCTGATTGTCCAATGGGAGGTCTGTTCTTGGAGGGATTCGAGCGTTACGATTGGGTCCTAAGCCCTGTGGGCGGGGCCTCTCTTGTGGCCATCGATCAGATACAGAGGAAGATGATGAGGAAGATGAGGAGGAAGGGAATGAAAATGGAGGTGAGGAGGCAGAAGACGTCACAGGAGGAGGAGCGATAGGGTTCTCCACTGCCACTGAGAAGCCACCTGAAACACAGAGAGAAGAGCCCTCAAAAACTAAACGCTAAACTATTAGTCATGCAATGGTGAAAAAAAAAAAAAAACACTTTAGCATGCTTTTAAAATGAGTAGCCTACTTAATACAGAAATAAAAAGAACTACATGTAATGTTTTTCGGAACTTAATTGCATGTTAATGGAAATTAAAAATGCATTATAGTTTAAATTTATATTAAATACAATTAGCTGAACTATTGAGTGCTTTTTTGATTTGATTAAGACTTAAGTACATCTTTACATGTAATTTCATAATTCTATTGTCTTGGAAATATGATTAAAGTGTTACTGCTGAATGTACTGACAAGCATTTATGGTAATCTAAAATGTACCTTAATGCAATTTCTATTGAATCTTGTATGTCATGTATTTAAATTAATTTGTAATTACACGTTTGTAATGCACTTAAGTGGTCAGTCACATTATCTGCAAGTAGTTTTTTAAAAAATGCACTTTTAAGATTTGGAGTACACTATGAGTGCACATTCAATACAACTAAGCACACTTCTTTTTCACAGAAGTTGTAAAAATGTAAGAAATGTTGTGCAAAAAAAATGTGGTTAAGTATTTGTTTTGCACCAGTGCATTGCTAACAGCTGCTGTTGCTCATGTTTTCGGAAATCATCATACTCTCATTAAAACTGTACTGCAAGTTACTACATGTGTGAATATCCTTTAGGATATTCTGTTATCTTAGCAACATGCAGCGTCAGAAATAAATAAAATGTCACTGATGATGTTCCCTTTTAGTTGGGATGCTGCTTCAGAAGGTAACCTTGCTGTCTGTGTAGGGAACAGAAGCAAGGCAGTCTCACTAGGTTTTAATTCCCTGCTGAAAAGACCAGCTTAAACCAGCCTGTGGTGTGCTGGTATTAGCTGGTTTAAGCTGATTTAGCTGGTTTCCTAGCCTGTTCCCAAGTTACACCAACAATTTATTTTAGCAGGGCTGGCACAGAACTAAAGCCTGATTCATGCTTTTTGCCTCATGTCACACACTTTCACTGTGACCCCATTCTCATAAAAACTCTGTTAAACATCATCCTCTGTTGCCCATTTCACACAAAATTTAGAGTGAGAGAGAAGATCATCAGGAGAGAAAAATAGAAACCAAGATGGTGGGTGAGAGAGAGACTCTCTGTGACAAGGAGAGTGTAGGAAAACTCACTGATTTCTCGGAGCGCCGCCTGTCCTCGCTCTCTCTCTCTGTGTATTTCTCTCTCTCCGTCCCTCTGTTTCTCCACTGGGATGTAATATTCATAGTCTATGCCTGGATTCTGCCGGTGGAAAATAATCTACAGCGAGAGAGAGAGACAGCAAAAAACAGGTTAATAAACTCCAGCATATGGTAACGTCTCACTCCATGACCGCATTCCAGTTAGTATCAGCCGTATTTCACTGATGCACAGACACTCAGAACACACTCCTACACACTCACACACACCACAGTATGTGGACAGTCCTTCTCATAACATCTGAATGAACTTAAAGCTGAAGTATGAATTATGAACTCATCGTTTTTCATCAAATTCTTCCAAAACCAAATCATCAGAGCTGTGCTATCCATGCTGTTACTGTGTTAACAACCAGCTCCGACTGACACCCAAACTAGACCAATACTGAAGCGTAAACTAGTATCATCAAACTAGTGATACTTGAACTAGCCTAATACTGGCACTTAAATTAGTATGACTACACAAACCACTGACACCCAAACTAGACTAGTGCTGATACTTAAACTTGTATGACTATCCAAACCACTGACACATAAACTAGACCAAAACTGACACTTAAACTAGTCGCAATAAAAACATCACGCTTAAACTAGACCAATACTGATACTTAAACTAGTATGACTACCCAAACCACTAACACTTAAACTAGACCAATACTGATAGTTAAACTAGTATGAATATCCAAACCACTAACACTTAAACTAGACCAATACTAATACTTAAACTAGTATGGCTGTCCAAACCACTGACACATACACTAGACCAATACTGACATTTAAACTAGTAGTAATAAAACATCACACTAAAACTAGATCAATGCTGATACTTAAACTAATATGACTACACAAACCACTGACACCTAAACTACAACAACACTAATACTTAAACTAGTATGGCTACCTGAATCACTAACACCTAAACCAGACCAATACTGTTATTTAACTAGTATGACAACCCAAACTACTGACACCTAAACTAGACCAATACTGATACTTAAACTACTAGTATGACTAACCAAACCACTAACACCTACACTAGACCAATAGTGAGACTTAAACTAGTATCACTACATAAAATATTGGTAATTAAAGTAGTGTGACTACTAAAACTACTGACACATTTAGTAGACAAATACTGATACTTAAACTATTATGATTAGACTAGCCATACCTAAACTAGACCAATACTGATATTAAACTAGACCGTTAAACAAATGGTACCTAAAGTAGACCATTACTGATACTTCAACTAGTATCACAACTTAAATACAGAAAATTAAACTAGACAGATGCTGATACTTAAACTAGATTTATAACTTAAATACTGATTATTAAGGTAGTAGGACTAACATAACTACCAATACCTAAAACAGACCAATACTAAATAGTATCATGAAACTGGTCACACGTATACGAGACCATTACTGACATTTAAAGGGGGGGTACAATGCTGTTTCATGCATTCAGAATTGTTTACACTGTTAAAGAGTAGGATTCTCATGCTAAGCATGGACAAAATTTCAAAAAACTATTTGGACGTATGACGGAGTATTTCTGTGCTAAAAATCTTACTTCCGGGTTCGTACAAGTTTCGGAGAGTTTTTTTTGATCGTGGCTCTTCATGACGTAGACAAGTGTGGAACTCCTTATATGGGCATTTCTCCCGGAAGAGCGCGCATGCGCACACATCGACCAGAGCGAGAGCAAGAGTGCGCCCATCAACGTGCTTCATTCAAAAAAATCGTACTTCCGGATTCGTACAAGTTTCGGAGAGTTTTTTTTCTATCGTGGCTCTTCATGACGTAGACGAGTGTGGAACTCCTTATATGGGCATTTCTCCCGGAAGAGCGCGCACGCGCACACATCGACCAGAACGAGAGCAAGAGTGCGCCCATCAACGTGCTTCATTCAACAGCGCTGCACGGGACTCGCTCGGGAAGAATGTCTCTAAAGAAGTGTGTTTTTGGTTGTAAGGGAAAAATAACTTTGTTCAGCTTCCTAAAGAACCC